AGGGAGAGAGAGAGAGAGAGAGAGAGAGAGAGAGAGAAACAGACAGACAGACACAGAAAGTCAGTGTGCATGGGTATTTTATGCCCAGCTGGACGCCAATAAATCATTTCGATGACACTAGAGCACTGACCTTTATAAGAAGACCCATTCGTCGTACAGGTGTAACGCCCCTTTCAGCACCATAAGGTTAGTTAACAGACGAGATCTCCAGTATCACAGCCCAGTAGCTCCCTACTTAACCCTATCCGTACGCCCTGGGGTCATTTTTGTACCCCGGGGTTGTATTCTGCACTTTTTAGAATACTTCTGGTACTACGAAGATCTCTTGGAAACTCTCAGTATTTCTTTTAAAAAAACACATTTTGACAGACTGCTATGCAAAGCGTACGGATCGGATTAACGAGTAAATTTCCTCTTTTGAAAGTGGTGGAACAGAGTTCCTCACGTCGTACGGATACGATAGTAAAACACGACGTACGTAGTATCATTTGCCATAGCGTGACAATTGTATTTGATGGTGGTTTTCAGACCCCTCTTGAATAAGACACATAATACATGGGGAAAAAAACCTGTTAAATATGTACAATATGTATACAAAAGAGACAACAGCTTTTTTTTTTGGTAAGGTTTTCGCAGCGCTCGCCAACTGCATAAGGTCATATTCAGCGCCAAGGGGTGAATGTCAACAGAGAAGTCCAAACGGGGAATCAGGCTTTCCCTGCTCACCTCTCTAGCCTCAACAGCACAAAGTCTGTTTCGACTATCAAGGCACCCCGGAAATAGCGGGTCACAAGAGTGTGACAAACGTACAAAAGATGAAGAGGAAAAATTGTAGTTGTAAGGATGGGGAAAGAAAAGGCAGCAGTTCCCTTTATGTTATTTCGGCACAGTATGAGCATGACATTGATAAGTCAGCCCATTTACAATTTTAAGGAGCATACGAACATGTTTATATACCTCTTTGGGGATGTCCTGAAGACACTCCAGTCAGTGGCATTGCCCTGGGGGGGGGGGGCAGCTATCTTTGTTTATTTACGAAAAAATACGAAATTTTTAAAGGTTTTTAATGCCAATTTCAACAATGTAAGACTGTTCAAGAGGCGGAACCTCCGAATGTAATGTTCATCTATGATAAGACTGAGCCAAATGAGCGATAAGCTTTACCCACAAAAAAAACCCCAAAACAACGCAGTTTCATGAAATCTGCTGGGGATCCAAACCAGAGTCATTCACTTCGTAGTGCAGCTTGATACCGGCTGAGCTGACGGTGCACACAAGGCTAACAAATTGGCGATGATTGTTCTTCTCATTTGATAACGCTTGAAGACGCGCTGTTTCGGGGTACTTTAAAAAAAAAAAGAAGCATAACTTCATCATTCATACAGATTTTTCAGTTCTGTTTTCTTTATCTAAAACTTCAAACAAGGGGGCAACAATATCCTTACAGTTTAATAGGCAATTTCATGGTTCCAATTTTTTAAATTTTGTTTCTAATTTTGTTGTGTTGTTGTTGTTGTTGTTGTTGATGTTGTTGTTGTTGTTGTTGAAAGGGGGTTGTTGCTGTTTTCGTTTTGTTTAGTTGGGGTTGTTGTTGTTTTTTGTTCTGTTTTTGGGTGTGTGAGTATAATGGTGAAATGTGAAGAAGCATTCGAATTGGTCTGCCTTTCACCAAACATTATAATGTTTCTCCTGCATCCATAAATATAGTCAACTTTTCACATGTATCTGCATTCTGGTAGATAGGAAAGTAGATATCTCATCATGTACGTCCCGTATTATGACTAGTCTAGATCTATGTATGAATAAAACAAGAATCGATGAAGGTGTGGCATCAATTTAAAGTTAGTGTTCTTACTTTCTGTACATCTCAAATGGGTTGCAGTTTAAATATAAACACCCCCCTCTTGTAGCAATCACCAACAGCACGATGTCCATCGAGAAGTCACAAATCCACATTCCACGCGACAGCTTTTTCTCAACTGTCCCTATCTAGCACCGTACGCTGACCAACTTGCACTGACGAGTAACAATGCTCTTGCCCCTCGACTGCCACTCACGCTTACGAGGTCTTCAACAGTCCGTGGCTCACGCCTCGGCCGGCCGTTGTTCTCTTCTTCAATGTCAAATTATGCTCGCTTTTATGGACAAGTGGGCTAACCCAGATTTCGGGGGTTCCCAGAAATCTTGACGTACACCAAAAGTGGACGTTGCCCTACCTATAGGAGAAGTTTAGTTTCATCGTTGTGTATATTTGTTTGTGTTATTGACAAAACTCTCCTTGTATTTTTTGAAGAAACTGAAAAAGGGTCAAAAACTTTACTTTCGATTTTCTCAAAACAGCATTTTTCGGGAAAGCCCCCTTGTGCTTAAAAGCGACCAAATAGGAACTCGATTACTTTTCCCGAAATAAACCATCAAACCACATGAGTCAACAGCTGACTCTTTAATCCGAGGTCTTTGGCGTTTAACAACTACGTGGGGAAGGGGTGTGGGGGGGGGCAAAAATAGATACTGCTAGAATCAATGCTTCATATTACCATATACATGTTTTTATGATATAAACTCTAAAGTTTGTGAGCTTACGTGCTCGGAAACCGAACAACATTTTAAAATTCAACTAACACTGAAACTCTGACCATAACCTTAACCCTAACCCTATCCCAAACACTGACTCTAGAACTGACCCTTACCCTTAGCCTAGCCTTATCCCTGACTCCAACCCTATCCGTACCCTTAACCCTTTCCCTAAACCTAACACTAACCCTAACCCTTACCCTAAACCCTGACCCTAACCCTATTATAACCCTAAACCCAACCTAAAACTAAACTAGACCTAAACGTAACCTCTAACCTAACCTTAACGTTAAACCTTTACCTTTTCCCTAACCTTAACTCTGTAACTTAAAAATAAAGCAATGTGTTGGATAAACCCTGTGCAGGTTAGGCTTAGCTTGGTAGAAAGTAGAAAATGCTAGTATCGATACATCTAAGATTTCATGAGTATTGGCTCCGTAGTTTTGTCGACATGACGACACCACAATAGCACCTCCGAGGTGAGCCCCTCTCAAATACGGTACGCTAAATGACACAAGTGCATGGCGTTATTCAAATCGAAGGGTCAACATCTGGGGCAAACAAAAACTTTGTTCGTTTTGTTTCTTTAAAGTAAGATCCGAGAAGTCCTTTAAGCTGCTCCGGAGAGCTACCGGAACTACCTAATCTGCACTCCACTTTTCGCTAGTGCGTGACACGTCGGGCTGTTTAAAACTGCGTGGCTGTTTTTTTGGGCCTACATCGGATTCTGCCTCCCTTCATTCCAGATCCGGTCCTAGCTGGGTCAAGTCGCTTCCTCCTGGTAATGCGCCTCTCTCTCTCTCAGACTTGTTTTGTTTACCTCTCACGCGTTTTCCCTATAATATCCTCGTAGGGAATAAAGTAAACTGTCAGTGATAAAAGGATTTTAAAAAGTGAGTCCATTTCCGATCAAAAAGTCACCATGCCTATGCAGAAGGTAGTGGACAGCGCCGGCCATTCGATGAAACTTTACGTTCACGAAAGAAAGCCGTATCTTTTTGGAATGCCTCAGTTCAATCCTTACATGTTGGAAAACTTACCGGTGAGTGAAGGCTTGATGTTTGCTGTGCCGTTCTTCCTGAGTGATTTGGGATTTTTTAAAAATAAATATTCGGAAGTACCGGTGGCTGTGGTGTGGTTGTTGGGCGCTTTGCTGTTGCACGGAGGCGACCTGGGTTTGATCCATGTGTGGGGAGCATTTTTATCGAGTATCTCAATGGTAGTTCTTTATACATAATTCTAAGTCATGCTGGTGTCAAAATCAATTGTCAAAGACAAATTCATTGAGGCAAAAAAAAGTTTTGGAATAAACAATATGCACAAGGCAAGAACGATAAATATACACATCCTCAGTCGATCCTCAATTAATCATGATCGAGTATCTTAATGGTCTTTCTTTTTACATAAGTTTAAGTCATGCTGATGTCAAAACCAATTGCCAAAGACAAATTCATTGAAGCGATAAATATACACATCCTCAGTCGACTCCTCAATTTTTTCATCTTGACATCAGCTGACAACACTTCTGGAATGTTATTGCTCTACCTATATGAGAAGTTTGGTTTCATTGGTGTGTATGTTTGTTTGGTTATAGAGAAAACTCTCCTTGTCTTTTAAACAAACTGGACAAGCGGCAAAAACTTTATCTTCGATTTTCTCAAAACAGCATTTTTCGGGATAGCCCCTTTGTGCTTGAAAGCTACCATTTGTGTTAATGAGGGCATGAAACACGTGCCTACATTTTTTTTTTAAGCAACAACATTACCACCCTTTGGGGCACTTCTGGACTGTTGTCCGTGACCTACTTTTTGTCCTTGCCAGTAGTTTTGGAATGTGAGAATTGTATGTGTGTGTGGGGGGGTTGGGCGTGTGTGTGTGTGTGTGTGTGTGTGTGTGTGT